TGCTGATCTTAAACATTATGTCTTTAAAATGCACAGCAAATGGCAATGTAGTTCCTCCCAGCACAAAGAAGCACCATGAATACAATTACTGTACTTTGGTTACCAATTTGATTTTTAGGCAGTTTGATGCTGGTGAGTAAGCTATTCATACTTAATTTGATGCATTCACCTAGAGCCAAGAAAACTAGCAGACTCATAATCAATTAATGGAAGTATATGGAACATCTTATCTCAGTATGGACTGAAGACCAGAACCAGTGTAGTAGAGTTTACAGTACCTCTCACCTTGGCAGTGACAAAAGCTAAGGCAGATAAAACAAAACAAAAAAAACATCATCACCTCAACTACCTTTTCACATACTTCAATAAAGTGAACATTTCCAAAAGACTATCACTTGTATTCATTTAATTCATATGAAAAAAAATCATTCACATGGTGTTGTTTTTTTAGAGTACTTTCAGGAACAGACATAAGCAGGAAATTGGTACAGAACCTTTCGGGGATGAGATTCAGGTAATGAGACTCTTCACAAACCCGAAAATCCTCTGAGAATTTTTTTCGGTACTGAGAAAAGTTTTTCAGAATTTCCGGATATTGCACATTAACTTCACCTCAGAATTTGCTTCGAGACCTGCCAAAAAATTGGGTGAGTTCGAAATTATCTAAGAAATTTTCAGAATTACTCATTATTTTAGCCTTGGAATTGCTCCCAGGCCTGCAGAAATTTTTGGAAGTTTCAGAAGCTTTCTCAGAATTTTTGAAAATGTACTGGATTTTCAACCTCAATTTCTCTCAAACCCAGAAAATTGGAGAGAGATTTCAGTTATCAAAATGCAGTGTTTTCCTCAGAAATTCATTCAGAACCTGGAATTAAAAGAATTTTTCTGGAAAAAATCCAAGTCAATTTCAATTTTGGGTATTGGTGAGTTCCAGCTAACAAAGATATTACTTATCATTAAAGACATTGTTAAAAGTACTGTACAGTACAGTCTTCTTTGAAAATTGAATAAATACTCAAACTTGTGAATTACTGTAGTATGTTACTTTGACTTAACACTCAAATGGTGATAAATTCCATAATTAGTCCCCATATATCCTAAAAACTGGACTAGTGGGAACAAAACGTCAGTTGATATTGGCCATCGATCCTACAATTAACACAAATTGATGATGGCGACCTGTCTGAGGGTTAAAATAACTTGAATGAAACAAACCTAACTAATTATGATCATCCTCACTAAACAGGAATTCTTGTACTCTGTCAAAAGGAAGAGCACAGAACTGAGGCCTGTCACCTTTCTTCTGATGAGAAAGACGGATGGCTATTATCCCCTGCCATTACTATAGTTTGATCACTGGTACCTTTGATAAGACAAAATTAAAAGCAAACAAGCTGTCACTACTAGTGTTTCATGTTGCAAATATAATGATAACAACAACAAATTAATTAATATGAACTTTACTGCAGATATGCAAAATTCCAAACAGTAAGTCCCTTTGCTCCAGCCCACACGATAAAACAGGGTGGGGATGGACCAGTCGGCACTGGAAGAGAGGAGGCACACAAGAACAGCGTTGAGCAGCCACTGGTCACTGAATAAACCCTCAACACACCTTTTCTCAGCCACAAGAGTAAGTCTGGATCTTGAGGAAAACACACAACCATACCTAAGAATAAAAACATCATACCATGAGCTTGGGATATGGAATATAGCTAAGGATTCACATAATATAGCTTATTTTCTTAAAGTTATTAAGATAAGAACCCACGGTATACATATCGGATGAATGTATGGACACACTGGATGAACAACCATTTAAACTTCTTGTTATTTGTAGGAGGATAACAAAATACTAAAGTGCAGTACAGGCAATAACCATTATATGATGGATCATTATACACTCAGTTTTACCATGTTAAAAAAAACTACATTTACTGCTATACGATGGATGAATCAGTTTCGATGTTCACTACCCAAATGCTTTAACGCTTAATTTTCACTAATGAAAAAGTGATATGCAATAACTTGCAAAGTCGAGATAAGATGACGTCTCGGAATGACATAACACATATGACCCACGGGATCGTGAGTTCTGTCCGCACCGGTGATTTGCTAGGCTATAGGATAAGCAGTTGAATGTGTCATATCATCCAGATGATGGTTTGCATGTGGAAGAAGCTATTCTTTGTCCATAAAATAATATAATATATACTGCACCAGTAAATGCGAAAAATAAATAAATAAATAATAATAATAATAATAATAATAATAATAATAACAACAACAATAAAAATACTGCATTGCCATTTGGCAATTTTGTCACTAGCACAAGACAGCTGGCGCGAGAATGCCACTCCCCCGCTCACTTGTGCTAGTTCCCATACACCTAATAAATGTTTAATCCTGTTATGGTTTTGATCTTATGATAATTATTTGCACATTCTGTATGAACGATTGCAAGTACAAGTAACAGAGTAAAGAATATTGAAGAAAATTACATTTATCTACCCAAACAATACGAGTTGAAAAACAACAATAAGGCAGCTCACCATCCTCTGGGCGACGTTACACAGTTCTGCTGATTAGTTGGCCAGTCACCTCGGTAACTCGCATCGGGGGAGGATGGGAGCGCAAATTGGCGAGTCAACTACGCAGTTACAACTCACTAACTCCACACACATACACACCCATGCTCTTCAATTTTTTTTTTTTTTTAGTTCTATATTATACAGTGGTCCCTCGGTTAATGAACAAAATTCGTTCCACAGTCGTTCGTTAACCGAATCCATTGTTTCAATGGGATAATGGGTGAATGGTTCCAGCTCACAGAAAAGCACATACAAAGTAAAAAAAAAATGCAGTAAAGTACACTTACCTTGAGGTGTGTATGTAGAAGGTTCCTGGTTGATGATGATGCAGGGAATTAGAAGTGGGGGTGGAGGAGAAATTACCTTTCAGGGGACCCATGCTTGTTGCAGTAATTTCACCAATAAAATTTTAAGTTCACTAGATGTAATTCAAGATTATTTTATTTAAATCAACACTGCGCTATATATTATCAATATGTTAACTAAATTTCAGAATGACCAATAATTTTAATGTAAAAATGCAAAAATATTCAAGACACCAACAAAATCGATGTTCACTCCTCTGTAAACAAAGCCAAACTGACGCCTGGTGGGTGAGTCAAGCGGCTGATGGGCGCACAAAAAACTAGTTCCCTGTACTGCATATATTATCAATATGTTCACGAAATTTTGAAATGACTAATAATTTTAATATAAAAAATGCAAAAAATATTAAAGAGCACAACCTTCTTGATATTTACTCCACTGGAAATGAATGTAAACATAGAACAGATTACTGAATTGGCATACTAGCCCATCAGCTGATGCTCACAACAAAAAGTGTTTGTCGTAAGGATTTCGTTAATTGAAGTTTTGTTCGTTAACCGAATTGAAGATCCTTATGGGAGATAATTCGTTAATCGAACATTCCGTTAACCGAGGGACCACTGTATTTATTTTATTTCTAAGTCACATTAAAGTAATGTAATGATGAATGAAAAACATGCTTAGCTAGCGAGAAATGGTGGGTGGGTTGGCTCACACGGAGTCGCGTACTATGGATACACATACAGTACTGTACTCTGAGGCCCTACGTACTGTATTTGTAATCATACTATATCATAAAATATCAATGAATGTGTTTAAAAATTTTAATTTTCATTCATAAAAGTATTTGTATTACTTCTTTTTGCTGAAAAAATTCCTTAGGAATGCATCTCAAATTATATAATGTAAGTCAATGGGAAAATGAGGGTCACGTTATGGTAAAATTTTCAAGGACTCATCTTCTGTAAACCGGGGGATTACTGTACTGTATAATTCATTAAACAGTTTTATTTCTCCCTTTGTGCCAGTAGCTAGGTATGTGTTGATACAGATTACTTTGGATATTTTCCTACGTACAATGATGATAGTACATATTTTGTATTACTGTACACATTTGAATATACTAGTATAAATCAATATAAATTACAGTACAGTATAGTCTCGATTTACGCGGATTTAGTTTACGCGGCACAAGGTCGCCAGTCAACAAAACATTACTGAGTTCTTCACCCACCACCCACCACAGCCAGCCCAAGTCATAGATAGTGAGGATATGGATTTTGAGGGGTTTGACAAAGAGGCTCTGCAAGCCTCTGTGGTGGATAGTGATACAGGTGAGGGCCAATTATCTGCCCTCTACCTCAGAACCAACCCCAATCCCCATGTACTCAGCCATCTCTTCTACTAAGTAAGTGTTAAAAAACCTAATATTATTGATATTTCTCCTAAATATTAATTGTGTGTGCATACCATCATAAAATTAAGATGTTATTTTTACTACAACGTACTATTGTGTCGTAAAAAGTGTAGTTTGGGGGTCGGCCCAGTTTCTATTTCAATTAATCCCATATGTTTTGTTATTTCGTTTACGCGGACCTCTATGGGTTCAATTGACAGCGTAAATGAAGACTATACTGTACTTACCATGCCAGATAATACTGCCACATGCAGTTACCACCAACACAAAACAACACATGGAGGAACTTCACCTCAATGATATCATATGCTATTAACATATTTTCATTTTTGTCTAGTAGTTCATTTAAACAGTGATCCTTATCTTTTTACTAGAAATACCCTTTGTTTCTATTTTATGCTATTAACCATAAGGAAAAATGATTTTTTTTTTCACTCTATGCATTAATGTTTTGTACTGTATTAAGGAGTAACAACCTCAAGTATGTACAAGTGTACAACTGAAAAATACTTTTCAGCAATCTACTTATCATAAAAATATTCACACAAGGGACTACACAACAGTAAAATGTTTGATCCATACAACTTACAATGAGTTAAATAAGAGGAATCATCACTTATGACCTGTTACATCCCACTGTCACTATCATTGTCTGTCAAACAATCTAGTATAAAGGGTTGACTTACCAGGAGAAGTTAGAAGAAACTTGGCAATCTGTGTCTGTGAGGAACTCTCCCACACACGGGCAGTGAGGTCATCTCCTGTAGATGCCACTAAAGAGCCTGTGTCACCATTATACGTCACACTATTTACAAAGTCACTGTGACTAAGTATGTCCTGTAACATAGAAAAATACTAAACATCCAGTTTATAGATGGTATTCACATAATTGGTCATTGGCACCCCCAAAAAGACACCAGCATGAAAGGATGGGTTGTGTTAATACCAGGCCAATCTGAACCATATCACTTGGGATATTTATCAAAATATTCCACATTCTTCAGCTTAAATCACTATGTAATTTCAAATAATGGCATGTAACATATCCCTAAATTCAATACAATAGTCTACAGTACTATATTAGTTAGGTAGCAGGCAGCTACCAAACAGGGAAGTACTACCGCCTGGGAAGATATTGGAAGCATAATGTGTTGTCTAATGGTAGACCCTGCTGCCATATGGCATTACAAAAATTATGACCAAGTCCTAGGTTGCTGATCTAACTTTCTGCCTCATATACACACAATTGCAGGATCTCAATTGTTTCTCTTACTATTGACAACACATCATACATATAACGTTTCTCTCTATTGACCCTTTTTTTTTTATGAGCGTTTATTATTATTATCATTATATCTTCGGCCGCAGGCCCTGATGTGGGTCATTGACCTGTGCCCAGGTGGGCTAATCCCCGTTAAAAATAAAAAAGTTATTATCGTTATTTCCAATCCTCTCCTTCTGTTAGTCTAGCATATGTACACATACACTTCTCCTTATCACTTTCGTTTACCATTCCTTCCGGAAACTTACTCATTATTTTCTCTAATCAAATGTTGGAATTCAAATTATCAAAGGAGAGAGCAAAGGTTTCACTTGATCACCGGTTAACTAAACATGTAGAACATTTCAGCAGGTGCTTCCAACATTTCCTGGAAGTCTCTTAGTTGTCAAGCAATCACAATGCTTTGAGATGTGGATTCAAATAAGTGCTTCCAATTTTCAGTCATATTTCCAAGTTGTAAACAGTAAATATCAAGTGTTAATCATAGAGGCAAAGAAACCTACCATCAGCCATGACAATAAAATTCAAATTCTTTCAAATGTGTACAAAGACTTTTATATGTTAAAATCGAGTATCACATTTAATTGCCTGTAAGTCACTAAGCAGTGCCCTGGTAAAATACTTACAGACATCCTCCAGGTTGCGTTAACTCTGGTTATGAAAATTCGCACAAACGGAATTTGGAAATTATGACCAATATATTCGGGATACGGCCAAAAAATTCGCCCTTACGGAATTGAGGTAAATTTTTAAGTTTTACAAACAAAAATCATGATATAGAAAAAAAAATTTGTGTGTGGACTTCTTAGTGGTTGCTATAATACGGTGGAGGATGACGCATACTCACGGCAACAATACTCAGCTTGATTTCAAAGCCCAGCTTGTTCGGTTTTGCGTCTGTGTAATACCCTTATTCAAGGTGAGTGAAAAGAGGCCATCAACTTAAAGTGAAAGCTGAAGTCTAAAAGATCCTGTAAAGGAATTTCATTGAACATTAAACTTGATGTTTTAATGAGGTAACTCCCAGTAACTCCGATCACACCACCTCACGCAGCACTCAACATCGTTTGAGGCGAATTACATTCAAGTGTTGAGTGCATTTATTATCATGTTACAGCATGAAGTAATCAATGTATGTGTTTAAAAAAATTATATTCAGTCATATGCATGCTTGTAATACATATTTTTGCCCAAAATATTTACTTGGGAATGCATCTCCAATTATATACAGTAATGGGAGTCAATGGGAAAATTGGTCCCGCATTATGGAAATCCACGTCACAGAAACATTTTCAAGGACACATCCCAGAAAGCCTCAACAAATTTGGTGGTTGAGAAACACTATTCAAGGTAAAATAAGGCTCTTGCCATAGCACAGTAACAAGAACTGCTCAGCAGAGAGCATCTACAGAGAAATAAATATATGCAGCCTCGTTATTACACACACCATACTAACACTTACAAACTCCATTACTAGGGCTATGAAAAACTTAACTTTTCTCTAAGAGTAATCAGTTTAAAAGCTTTTAATAATGTTTACTTTCCAGCTTCTCAATTAAAGAAACTGTCTTAGATTTATAACAAATGAAGACATGTTTCCTCTAAATCAATAATACAGTACAAACATCTTAATATGTGTAAACAATGTAACTTAAAATTAACTTTACTTATTTAACTGTGTACAGGGGGTCCTCAGGAAACGAACAGGTTCCGTTCCTGAGGACGTTCTTGTCGGAACAAGTGTTATGTGCATACCGTACTCACAGAACAATGTTTAAAAACCCATTACAGTAAAGCCTCGAATTTGGACGGTAATGTGTCCTTCAATATTGCAGTGTAAGGTGAATCATCGTATTGCGAATCATTAATTACCATTAAAATAAAGTAATAATAATGAGACGCGTTCTCAAGTGTAACCTTTTCATGTCTTATAGTGGCTTTTTACCCTCGTTTCCTCCAAAACAATACAATTAATGAAAATTGCAAACTATATTCTTTAAATAATGTTTCTGAATGCGCCTTATACAATATAAATGAATAATAATATGGTCACACAAGAGGAGATGGGACGCCATTATTTTCGTTTGTGTTTACAGCCGGGAGTCCGAGACGATAGTTCTACTCGAGAAAGTGAAGAAAATAAGACCCTGGTTGTAGCTGTAGTAAAATTAATGTAAACAAAATTAATATACAGTATTACCCCACTTTACGCGGTTTCACTTTCCGCGATTTCTCATTTACGCGGTGCCTCGCCAGAACCGAACTTTCACTTTCCGCGGTGCATCTACTCATATACTCGGGAAGCGGCGCGGGCAGGATGCGCACAAGGTCGCCCAGTCATCAAAACATTACCGAGTTCTTCACCCGCCACCCACCACAGCTGGCCTAAGTCAGTGATAGTGAGGATATGGACTTATATGGACTTTGAGGGGTTTGACAAAGAGGCCCTGCAAGCCTATGTGGTGAAAAGTGATACAATTGATACAAGTGATACAGGTGAGGGCCAATAATCTGCCCTCTGCCTTGGAACCAACCCCTGTGTGCCCAGCCATCTTTTCTACTAATGTAAGTGTTAAAAAAAACTAATATTATTGATATTTCTCTTAATTATTAATTGTGTGTGCATACCATCATAAAGTTAAGATAATATTTTTACTACAACATAGTTGTGTCGTCAAAAAGTGAGTTTGGGGGTCGGGCCAGTCTCTATTGGAATTAATCCCATATGTTCTGTTGTTCACTTTACGCGGTACCCTGTGGGTTCAATTGACCGCGTAAATCGGGGTACTACTGTATATGTTTTAAGTAATGTTAATAAATGGAACAATAGAAGTAGCTAACCACTAATGGTAAAGAAAAAAAGTGAGTTGGATTGGGAATGGCAACATATACGTGCGCATTTAAGGATACTGTGTCATTTATCATTCTAAGAATATGTACAAAAGATTCATTGTTGTTTATTACTGAATATGTATTTGATTGAATTAATCTTTATATATATGTGAAATGAACAATACAATTCATTAATAATCGTAGAATATTAAAACACACAAGAGGATAAGAGAGGCATTGTTGTCAGTGTTTACACCCATAATGTCAGTTAGCCACCCGAAACTGAAGAAAATAAGACCCTGGTTGTTGCTGTAGTAAAATTAATGTAAAAAATATGTATGTTTTAATTATTGTTATTTAATGTACAGTAGAGTTAACCATTAATATTAAAGAAAAATGTGAGACTGATAGTGGAACGCCAATGTATACGTACGCACTCAAGGAAACATAGTCATTTATCTTAAGAATATGTACAAAAGATTCATTATTCTTTATTACTGACGATGTATTTGATTGAATTAATGTTTATATATGTGAAATGAACAATGCAATTCATTAATAATACGTAGAATATTAAAACACACACGGGGAGACAAGACGGCATCGTTTTCGTGAGTGACGATGGTTTTACATAAGAAACTGAAGAAAATAAGACACTGGTAAAATGATGTAGTGAACTTAATGTAAAAAAATTAAATACCTGTATGTATGTTTTAAGTAATGTTATTTCATGTTAATAAATGGAACACTAGAAGTAGCCAACCACTAATGGTAAAGAAATAAAGCGAGACGATTGGGAACGCCAACGTATGTACAGTAAGTGCGTACATGTGAAAACATATCGTCATTTCTCTACGTATGAATATAAAAGCAACCCTTATTTACTGTTCATATATGTCTTAAATAATATTTACGAATGCAAAACAAAAATTCTACTCACCAATGGTGGTAAAGTCTAAAAACATAAGGACAGCCATTGACTATTGCGCGAGTTTTTACTCGGATGACGAAGTCATTAGGTTCAACTCTGGCTGAAGCTGTAGCTTTCCATGAAACTGTTGCTGAACCTGAAGTTGTTATTGAAGCTGCTTATGATGCTGAATTTGATGGTGTAGCTAAAGTTGATGGTTTAGGCCTTCGAATAATAAAGCTGTCGAAAGAATCTTGCACAGCTGCTTTCTTTTCTCATTATACATCTTTATGTAAAGGTCATTTGCATTTATTTAAATTATAATGCTTTGCTCTGTTAATGGATCCACTTCAGAAAATATGTTCATTGCTTGCTCCATATAATATCCACAGACCTCTCACCTTATTTATATCGTTTTAACTCATTTAGTTTCCCGGCTAAGCTCATACACTTTCTATTGGGTTTTGAAGCAACACTACCATCACTTGCTCTACTGCTCATGTTGAATAGGGATGCAAAAATGCTGTAAGAAACCTGAGAAAGTTTTTCTCCTCTTCCTGTTTAGATGATTGAAAACAAAGGGCCCACCAGCTGCGATTGTTTATACTAGTGATACTAAGTTTATACTAAGAAGCCCGGCAATCTCCGTGCGCAAGGCATATATTTTTTTTAATAATATCGGGATTTAGTTATTATTTATACGAAAATGTAATATGTATTTTTTAATTTTGTCTATAATACAAAGAAAATAATGGCGTAAATTGAATTGGGTCCTAAATTAACCAGGGTCTTAGACATGAATCTTCGTTAGTTGCACTGTCGTTATCGGAGGCTTTACTGTACAGTATATCATAGCTTAAGTCCTTATATACATCTAAAATCAATAATTTAAGACAAAAGAAGAAATAGAATGACAAAATACAGTAAATGAAAGTAAAAAAATATGTCAACAGGCAAATAAAATACTGTAAATTTAAAGTTTAACCCCATTTGTATCGGCGGGCATTCATAAGTCGAGGACCCCCTGTACTGTACTTACTTGTACTGTATTAGCCTCTCCTAGATCAGATGAAAGTTGCATAACAGTGTTGTCTGCTGATGCTACAGCAACCTGAAGACAACCTGGGATTGCCTGTAGTGAGGAACTTGGGCTCCAAGCCAGGGATACTGGTTGACTTGAAACATGCCATTCCCATACCTGGTCACAATCTTCACTATCATCATCACCTTCCTCCTATAATAATTCAAACAATAATATAATACTGTAATTACAAGATACCATTTCACCCATATGTATTGAGTAAGCAACTTCCAATACTTAAACATACTTAGAAAATTTTAAGGTAAGTTCAGGGGCGGATCCAGGAATATTAAAGGGGGGGGGGTGTATCCATGAAGTTGTGGTTGTGAGAAGATGGCATGCACAACAAGACCATTCAGCTGGGGTTTTTGAAATCTGACCAATATCATGGACACTTTGAGGCCATTTTGAATCCATGTGCACTTGATATTAGGAGATATTCTGAGGTCAATAGTAATTACCTTTTACAATACAAAAATGCCTGAGTACAATACTGCATAAAGGAAAAAGTATTGGAATCTTCTTATGAAAAGGGGGGTCCGAACCCCCAGGATAACCCCCCCCCTGGCTCCGACCCTGAAGTTCAATAATATTTTCCAGGAGTTAAAATCCTTGCATTTTGGGGGTGAAACTAATACCTTAAAACATAAAAAAATTAACAACTGTAGCATATATTTCTTTTTCAGTACTGTACAGTATATGTTAGTTTTTTCCAGCAGTGATAATACACCTTTTCACATATACGTTGAGACATTGTTATATACGTACCTATTTGACATATTTCATAACCGAATGACAGAACAACAAACCGACAGTCTGCATATAGACTGTCGGTTTATTGTTCACGTCTGTCAATTTCATAACCTTTATCAATCATTTCTGTTAGCATGAACGAACAGTTATTTTAGAATGTCATTCGATATGTGTTCTGTCATTCGGTTATGAAATATGTCAAATAGGTATATAACAATGTCTCAACGTATATGTGAAAAGGTGTACTGTAATGTCTTGTGTCCCTGATACATCTATTTAATTTGTTCACCTTACATTTACCATGACAGATGGGATGACTACCCTCCCCTAGCAGCCATATTGTCTCCTTACCCAAAATATAAACACCTCATTGTTGACACGATACCAGGTAGAAGCTAAACAACTGAACACCCTTAAGTATTGTCACTCAGAACCTAAGTACTGTAATGAAATAACATTTATATGATTCAGTAATAATAAAAAAGTACCTCCCATATTTCACTTTCTCATGTATACTCAAAAACCAAAAAAATGTCCAATATCTTCTAAGGGAGAAGAAGTACGTAAGCAGAGATGGAATCTATAAGCAACCTCTCCTGCAACTCTGACACTGCATCCAGCATAATACAGGTACAGTATTTTCAATGTAGATCATACCTGTTTACTATTAACTTTTTTTTTTAAATATATTTAAGAGGTGCCAGGACCATAACTTACATTGGCTGGTGGATATGATTGCTCCCACAATTCAAACAATTTGACCATAAAAATGCATTTTTTCAAAGGCAAATTAAATATGAAATTATTTCTCTCTGATAACAACCGCTGCAAAGAAACAAACCCATATACACATTCACAGAAAAATTAATGGATACAATGCACAGCTACACTCCTAAAACTCTTCAATTAGATGCATATCATGGAGTAAGGCTCTTAGGCCTAACTGTTCTTAATTTAGTAATATGAGCTCTTCTAGTCCTGGATGGATAAATGAAGAATGCCACTACTAAACATTTAGCTGAATCTCTAACATCAAGTGAAAAACTTTAGTCTCCTTGCCTTAAACTTAACAGAGTATACAGCTACAGATGTAGGAAGACCAACAGCAAGTAGCATACGTGACCATTCAAATGGTGAAAACTCAACACACAGTACTTGTGACCGAGTGCTGAGGCTGATGGCCGGGGCTACATTCACCTCCATCACAACAATCTGGAAAGCACTCCTGATTAGTTTATATATATAACAGTTATAGGACAATGGAAACATGAATGACTCCCTTGTGAATCATATCTAGAATACACGAGGAAGAATTTGTTAAAAGATTTGGGTTGTTCAATAGATACACTGTTTAGAAAATTTAAAGTAGTTACAGGTATTATATCGTCAATTTTAAGTTAAGCTGTGTGCATTTATTAATTATCATGAAACTTTAAAATACAGTATCTGCCTAGATATTCTTCTCACTTAGTAGATGTCATTGCAAGATGATGTGATTTGTTATTTCTATTTCTTTGGATGCATTGTGATGAAGCAGACAGTAGTACTGTACTTTATGTCTGATTTATGCAAAATGAACCACTCAGAAATTTATACTCAAGACTGAGAGTACTGAATGGCTCAATCCATCTGCAATCTGACAAAGTTCTAAGATTTTTTATTCTCATTCATTGACCTATTTGACACTTCATCGGAGGAGCTAATTCAGTAAAAAATGAGTGGAATAAATCACATCTTGATACACAGATACTGTAGGTTAGCTTAAGTTAAGTTAGGTTGGTTTATCTTGTACAGTATCTGAGAATTCATATAATGTAGCAGTAGCCGGTACCATTTGGTGGTAACAGTCAAGGCGAGTTGCATTCCTTAACTGCCTACTGTACGACATTTCACCTAAGAACATTAATGATATTTACATCTTGAAAGCAACAAAAAATATGTAACCATTATGTTCTGAGTGATATAAATTTTACAAACTTTAACACTTTTCATCTGTGGACAGGATTCCAAAATCCACCTGCCATGTTCATTATATATCTTGGCTAACACCAGAAGGAGTTGTTCAATTTCGTTAATTTTTTCACATATGTTCTTTAGATGATAGTAAACAATAATAACTATACAACAACTTTTTATATGAATTTTACAGCATTTTTTTTTCTATCTACAATCATAATTCACCTGTAGTTGGCAGGGCATGAAGGATGAGGGAAATTGCGGGGTAAAACACGGTGAAAAACTGATCATATTACACTAAAATTATATCCTCCATGTCTGTTTCCATGCAACAACCAACCTACTCTGTCTGAGAGTTGGTACTCGCACATCACAAAAAAAAACGTAAAATTTACACCATGCTGCTTCAAGGAAGTTGCATTCATTGGTACCAAATATCAAAGTAAGTACTTTTTGTTTAATATGGCAAGTTAGATAAGGCTAGCTAGCTTTCAATGGTTGGTTAGGTCAGGTTAGGTTCTATTAGATTCTGTGTATTGTTATATAATTTTTATTACTTACTATCACCCAATGAATAACATCTGTGAAAAAATTAAGGAACTCAAATAATGCACTCTGGTGTTAAGCCATCTGCTTCAGGATTACCATTTATTTTAAATATTAAAATACAAAATAACTAGTACTGTATGTTGGGTTAGGTTATGTAATTTAGTTTAATTTATTTTATGAATGATAAATTATCAACGATCCCTCTGGACAACAACTGTCAACTGTTAACAATCATCTAGACCAGGCACGGGCAACCTTTCCTCAGTCATTGGCCGCATTGCAATTTAGGTATTTTTCTGCGGGCCAACTCAGCGAAATTTATATCCTATCTAACCCAAAACATAGGCGGGATCCAGGAATCTCAAAAGGGGGTATCCAAAAAGTTGTGGGTGGGGATCATGGCAAACACAGTGAGCCCACACAGCTGGGGGGTTTTGGGAGGGAGGAGACACTATAAGCCCCCAGAATTTTTTTCGAAATCTGACTTATATCATGGGCATTTTAAGCCATTTTGAAGCCATGTGCACTTGATATTAAGAGATATTCTAAGATCAATAATAAAATTACTTTTTACTATCCCAAAATGCCTGAGTACAATGCTGCATTAAAGAAAAAGTAGTGGAATTTTCTGATGAAAATGGAGGTTCCAGACCCTCAGGAGCCCCCCTGCAAAAGTAATGTAAATATTGTATTAGCACAGACAGTAAGCAGTTTATCATCACGTCCATCTTACGATATTTTCAGTTTGCAATCACAGTCTTTTCCCATTTATGAAACAAATCCATAATTACATAATTTTTTGAGTAAAATATTAATGTTTCTTGGCATTTAACAGAATATGAGCGATGTCATCTGTGAATTCGTTGATTTTTTCTACAGTAAAAGCATTTTTCTTACTTATATATATATATACAGTCTCTCCTCGATTTACGATAACCCGGACATACGACGGCCATGGTCGTATAAAATATTTTTCACATTACGTATTTTCGAGTCCCGATTTTAGTGGTCGCACTGTGTACTGACAAAAAATTTTTTTAATTCCCTTTAAAATGGCTGGCAAGCGTAAAAGTGAGAGTCCTCGTGGTGCTGAGAAGAAAAAGAGAGACCCATTTTAGAATTTCTATGTATTATTTTCGCCTTTTCGACTGACGACCAATTTGACTTACGACCTGGTCGTAAGACAGAACCCCGTCGTATATCGAGGAGAGACTGTGTATATATGTAAACAAGAATAAATAGATAGAACAGACTTCCAGGCATGAAGGATGAGGTACTATGGAGAGAGACAGTCTATCAACAAGGAGGAGACCTTTACCTTTTATCCGTGTGACCACCACCCGTGGCCCCACTTGGACTTACCCAACCTTAGTTAATTCCCACGTGACCCACTGCCACACAGCATAAGAACATACGAAAATAGGGAGTTTGCAATAGGCTGGTTGGCCTGTGCATGGCAGCTCCTGTCGAGTTACTACCACTCTCTATCATCCATGAATCTATCTAGCCTACTTTTAAAATTTTCCAGCATTCCAGTACATACTAAAAAGTTGCTAAGCTTGTTCCACTGGTCAACCACCCTATTTGTGAACCTGTTCCTTCCTATCTCCCTCCTAAAACTAAACTTATCCAACTTAAATCCATTGCTACTAGTCTTATCCTGCTCGAATATTATAACAACTTTATCTATATCTCCTTTATTGATTCCTTTCACCCACTTAAATACTTCTATCATATCTCCCAGCACTCTTCGTCTTTCTAGGGAATGCAAATTTAGTTTTTTAATCTATCTTGATATGGTAGGTTTCTAAGTCCCGGAATCATTTTCGTCACTTTTCGCTGCACCGACTCCAGTGAATTGATATTTATTCTATAATAAGGGCACCAGAATTGAACAGCACAATCGAGGTGCGGCCTGACTAGCACAAGATATAGTTGTAATATGACCTCCGCACTCTTATTACTTACACTTCTAGATATAAAACCTTATACTTGGTTTGCCTTATTTCGAACATTAACGCACTGTTTTCTAGGCCGTAGGTCCGGGCTTACGAGTACCCCTAAGTCTCTTTCACATGTCGACTTCTCTAGGTTGATGTTGTTAAGTCTATGAGCCCAGTACTGACCACACCGAACTTGGCCTGTAAACACACACAAGTTAAAATGTTTATATAGTTGATGAGACAGTAAAGAATTGTGTGTAAAGATTATTTGTTTAAGAAATATTGCTTTACTATGCATCTATGTGAACCACTGGCCACACTAAATAGAATTACGATTTTTCTCTTACCATTTACTAGATCTCTTCGAGAAACAAAATAATATACTTGAATTTAGCGGAGCATTCAAAAAATAAATGCGATATTCACGATTTATTTGTTGTAATTATAAAAAGAAATTCTAAGTCTCAATTTGATGTTATGGTGACATACAATGTCGCTCTCGTTCATTCATTTGTGTGTTAGCACGCTTTGATGCATGGATGGATGAAAGCCCCAGCTAAGTAGGACGAGGCCTGTTAGGTCAGGAAAGATTAGGTTAGTACAAAGACCTAGTTTAGTTTTTACTTTTTCCCATGAAAAATATTTTTTGTTCCTAGTTTTCTTGGTGTTCTGATGATTCTGACATTTATTTTCGGTTAAAATCACTCGTTTTCAGCCCCCATCCAACCAAAACACCACATTCCCAACGTGGCCCCCTACATTGTTGGGGTGGAAGGGGGATGTGAATAACTAAATAACAAAATTATTTGCCCCAAAGATAAATGTCAGAACCATTTAAAACAGCAACAAAATTAACGAAAAATATTTTTTCATGTGATAAAAGGTGATGGGTGGTTAACGAAAAATGACCCAGAAGGGGAGTTAATACTTCAGTTTTTTGGCATATTATTTCATTGGCATAAATTAAGGTAATTATATAGGACTAACCCGCGGGCGAAATTGATTGAAAACAATTATAAAAACGCCGGATTTTCATTGTTATATTACAGTGGACACTGTTGTAGTTTGTGGAAATATGTTAAAAAACGGATATTTTTTAAAATAAACGCTACTTAACATTTGTGGTTATGAGGAACAGACCTAACTAACCAAACCTACCTAACCTTACCTAACTTCCCTGGTATATTAAACAGAAAGAAATTACAATGATATGGTGAAATTTGAGGCATTTCTGGACGTGAGATGATATGGCCGCATCGGCACTAAACAGCCCGGCGGGTTAGTCCTATATATAACCTAAATGAATAAGCATATGCAGGTAAACTTGGACTTTACTACAGCCAACCTTAAATGAGCAGTTCAATTAGTTGTAACGGCCCCATACACACACACACACACACACACATAAACAAACCACTAAATAATCTCTTCTTTCTCACCATTACCTTCTTAGTTTCATCATCTGAGCATATGTAATCTAATACACAAATCAAACTTACTTCACTAACCACACTACAGTAGAATGTGACCACTAATGACCATGTGTTGAGGTATGTTTACACGGCATGAAGTAAACAAAAGTGTCTAGTGTTGCCAACTCGGGTTTTCAAATGTCGCTAGGCTGGTACCTAAAAGTAGCTAAATGTCGCTAAATCTTCCATGGAAAGTCGCTAGCTATTATTCCCCCCCTTCAGTAATTTGATGCAAATAATATTTTCATAATGCCGACTATAATGGACGGAGTATAAATAAAATGCATTATGTAAAAATATCATTTTTCAGATTTTCTGTGAAATGTGGCGCAAGAATATTGCATATTATCCCAGAACACTTTGATCTTTTTAACTTGAGTTCACTGCCTGCCTTGCTGTCACTAAAACATACTTTACACACTTCACTTAAGTGTTCTACCACACGAATAGAACAATGTTCAGCTACAAACATGGCCAGAGTTCCCTCCACTTTTTTTGCTTCACCAAGTTTCTTGAATGGTAAAATTGTCTGTCTTTCTGCACTAAACGGCTCTTCTGCTTTCTTGTGTTTTTTAGTGTTTTTGTGTTTTTCAATGTCGCACAACTTAGCAGACAAAGTACACTTGCAAAATTTACAAAATCCTTTTTTATTATCTCCTGGCACCTCCAGAAGCCAATTTTTGTATCTGTCATCTCTGAGCCATTCCTTCCTAAATCGCTGCGAATACTGTGGCTTACCCATTTTCTATTGGGACTATGAAGGGTTCAAATTAATAAACAGCATGCAAACAAGCGGAAACTTTCCTTGATGGTTTTTGGCAAAGCGGGTGAACAGTGTCGGGGCAACTGTATGGAGTCTATGGGTCACCCATGGTGGACGCGGATGAGAAGTTTGGAACCACGCAGGCTTGATAGAATTAATTCTATAAGATGTTTTGCTAATATTCTTTAAAATTTAGCGTATTAATGAAATTCATATTGCATATCTGACAAAGAGGTAAGTTACCCAGGTGCTACAAAGGCGAAGGTAATAAACAAATAAATGACGACACGGCAACATTAGCCATGGACGGGCTGACATCAAGTGATCAGGAAATAGACGTGTCCCTCCTTCTGTACCACGACCCGTTCAAATGTATTAAACTTTTCTTATTATTTATTGTCCCTGTAACCCCCTTTGCTATATATTATGGCTCGAAATTAGGAAAATTGAGTTTTCATGGACAGTCCAAAAGTATCCAGAAAGTCGCTAGATTTCTGTGGATATCTCTAGATTTGCGACAAGTCGCAAATCGCTCTAAAATGTCGCTAGAAAAAAACAAAAAGCTCTAGATCTAGCTACAAAGTCGCTAAGTTGGCCACTGTGAAAGTGTCTTGTGTCTACGAGCCTAAAATCATGCCTAAGCCCAACACATGAACCCCGAATAAATATTAGATACATTTTGAGTAAATATATTCACACAGGTAGTTTATGCACGAAAAAATATTTTGTACAGTTACTGATCACACAATTCGGTGCTTGTATTCAACGTGGCCCGTGGGAATGTTTCATTTTGCAAGCCAAAAATCGGAAATTTCTCACGAATGATATATTTGATATGTTGAATCTGCGTACAGAGTTTGGCAAAGGAAAACCATGGAGTAAATTATGTAAATGGGTGAGTATTAGTGACAGGATTCAGGGGCGGATCCAGTAATATCAAAGGGAGCGGGGGATCCAAGAAGTTGTGGGTGGGGGAATATAGCGCGTACACCAAGCCCTCCCAGATATTCTTTTTTTTAAATCTGACCAATATCATAGGCGTTTTGAGGACATTTTGAAGCCATGTGCATTTACTTTTACTATACTTTCACTTTTATCCTCTTCACCACTGATCGGCTCGTTAGCCCCAGTTGGCACCGGTTAACATAATAGTGTTGTCATTCAGATTTAACTGTTACCTAGTTCAAGATAGTGTCACGTGTCTGTAGAGCTCGGGAACTCGCATAGCGTGAGGCACATGTGTTCAAGCCTACATTTCATATAAGCTATTAATAAATTGTTAATTGTACTTATTATATTATTATTGTTCTTAGTTACTTAGGTTAATTGTATATTTATGTATGTTATTAATATGCATCATTGTCTTACTCTGTTAAGTTCAAATCAAGAGAGTATTAATTAATTATATAAAATATCTAGCAACTGTCTAGATCACGTGATATGAGACGCTCCTCCACGGCGTACCCACGCCACCCCAGTAGCGAAAATCCGTGGCATAGGTTAGACGTGTCTATTCGTTCTCTAGCCTTGACCCTTGTCTAGTGCTTTATCCAGCCTTCTGCAATGCCCTAGGGGTATCAGGTATTAGTGACACGTTTAGTTAGGCCTAGGAAGGGATCCTGGTGGTAAGGAATCTCCTGTTTGGTAGGGATAATCATTTTGTAGTGATTGTTGTATATATATATTTCGTATGTCTTGTGTAATATAGTAATGTTAAGTAATATTTGTTTGGTCTAACTCCTTACAGTATATTTTCGCCCTTCCGGCACCACTCTTATTTTATTATACAATTACTTATTCCCTTAAATTCATGTTTGCTAATCATTACTCCCTTTAAAACATAAATTGAATTAATTAATTATCTTCCCTTTTGTGATTCACCTATTTCAACTGTTCTTACTTTTTCAAGTACATTTAGTAGAGTAGGTTTTTGGTGAGGATAATTATTGCCGTGTTCCCTATTTGTACCTTTATTTGTTAATAACTTGGGGTAGGATTCACTCCCCAAGTATAAAGGACATTGGGATCGCGACAATAGGGCAAGACCAAGGTGCAAATTTTACAAGAGAAATTACAACAGGATGAGGGAAGAGATGAGGGGTATCAACTGGCCTGACTCATTAAGGCACAAGAACACAGAAACTACGCTGAATATCATAACTAGTACTAGGTACCCCTGTACAATAACACCAGAAGCATCTGGCAAGTGTCACAAGTATACTTTTACTTTTACTTTTATCCTCTTCGCCACTGATCGGCTTGTTAGCCGCTTGGGCGATCGGTCACGTGTCTTTTCATTTATATTCTTCACCAAAAGATCGGCTCGCTAGCCGCCCGGGCGATCGGTCACGTCTCTGTCACGCACTGTTGGCAAATACTGGGCATGCACCGGCTCCTGAATGTACCTGAACCCGCTCCAGTGTTGGTCAAGTCTTCTCTTGAAAGAGCTCACACTCGGTGCCGTCACAACACTCTCTGGTAGATTGTTCCAAGAGTTTACAACCCTCACTCCGAAAATGTATATACAGTATAAATATTATAAAGGAGCTTACTAAAGCCTAAGGAAGGAAGGATATTCCTTTAACACACAATCAATGTTATTTACATAATATCTGGCTAGTATGGGGAGGATCATCGTGTCTCCGTCAGGGGGTCGTGGAGTGGTGGTCCAGCAGGCGTCACGGAAGCGTTGTGTGTGGGGACATCTTAGGAGGTAGTGGATAAGGGTGCGGCTGTCGGGTCTTCTGTATAATGCACAAGAGCGTTGCTCAGGGGATGCAGGGATACCAATCTCCCAAGCAAAGTCATACCCAATGATGATTCGGGCAGCAATCACGTCCCTTTTCCGCGACCCTCTGCCATAGACATACGAGAAGTCAGGAAGTTTATGGAGGACATCGTACCAGGTGGGCGGGGAGTCCAGGGGGATGGCTGCTTCCCGAGCTTCTCTCTGTTTGTGGCGAATTTGGGTCCTAAGCTGTAAAAGTGTTCGAGGAACAACGTAGTTCGGTGTGGCCTTGTTGCAGCCAGTCTTGGCAAGGCCATCTGCTGCCTCATTCACCAAGATACCGACATGACTGGATATCCATAGGAATGTCACAAGACGGCCTGCATCCTGAAGTGTGGATGTTGAGCCTCGTATTCGGAGGATGAGGTCCTTATTTTCCCCTGATCCAAATGCGATCCTGTCGAGAGCAGACCTGGAATCGCAGCAGACAAGCAAGGGGCAGAAACCATCTGCTTCTTCCTCAGCGAGAAGGGCAGCAAGGAGGGCTATTAGTTCCACCTGAGTGGAGGATGCCCCGTCAGAAACTCTGAGAGACAGTTTGATAGGCTCAGGGGCATCAGAACGGGAGATCTAGACCCCGGCCCGACCTGTAGCGGGGTCAACAGAACCATCAGTGTAGAGGACGACCCAACCTGGGGACCAGTGGGCGATCCTGGAGAGGTGGTATTTGCAGAGAATAACAGGGTTCACGTGGGATTTCGGGAGCGGTCCGCCGAGGGCAATCACTTCAGGTTGAAAATCCAGCCAGGGAGAAGGAGACGAACCAACAGCAGGGGTTCACTTGGATCTTAGATTGAATATCGTAACGTGCGTATTTCTCTCCCACAGTCCAGGGTTCGAATCGCCTCTGGTTTAAATGTGTGTCTGACGAAGTGTATGTATATTCTGTATGCTGTATTTATATTATGCTATGTATATTATGTATGTGCTCCATTTATGTATTATTTATTTAGCCTAGCTAGTAGCGTGTGGCAATGTATTTATCAATGTCCCACATGCTTAATTAATGTGCCTGGCGACGTATGGAAGCTGCTAATGTATCACTTGCCATACGTCGTCTATA